CACATCATAACATTCTAACAAGTTACTTATTATGACTATAAAAACACTCGTCTTATTTCCCATCTGATTGTAATTGATCAATAACACTCATATTATTATCTCTGAATGTATATTATCCTATACTGACTCTCTCTCTCTCTCTATATATATATATATATATATATATATAAATGAAGTAAAAATTTGTGTGAGTGACTTGATATGATTTTAAGTGTCAATAGTTTGAGCTCGAAATGTCATCGTCTAATATTACTGTATAACACTGTGTGATTTATCAAAATGAAATCTTATGCATAATGGAATTCTACTCCACCACAGTGCGCAAATTTTATACTTATATCAATAATACATTTGGTTTAAAGCAGATTTTAAAATGTTTAGAAGTAAATTTTGAAACTCAACGACGTATTTCAAGAACAGTTATCTCATGTACTGGGATACGTTGCCTATTCACCCACCCCCTCCACCAATATGATTATACTTTTTTAATGTTTAGTAGAAACTTGTGAAACCGTCGGTTGTAGACGTTTTAAATAGTCACGAGAGTAAATTAAGCCATTAGAGGTCATATTTCAATAGATTAAAACAAAGTTAACTAAAGAAACTATATATGCAATATAATGATGGAGAATTTTCGTAGCCCAAGTTTTAAGCAAGTCGCCAGTGTATTATTATCTGCTCTTTTAATCTGCCTCCGTCACTAATAATTGTTACTATGTAAACGGATGTATAAAAATGCTATTGTACAGGTTTTAAGGTTGAAATCGCCGAAGAGATATCTGTGCTGTACTCCACTGATCATGTACATAGTGGCCCCATTTACCTTGAACTTTTTCTTTCTTTTCAAACTTTTTTTTATTACTCTCTTCAATCTTCCTTGTTCCCCGAGTGTTATTGTACAAACCTCTATCTCTGAACCCATTGTTTTCGTGCATCGAAGGTGGGGCGGATAACTTGTAGTGGACCTTGAATGCTTGAAATTTTCTTTTAACGCATTCATATACCATGGCACTACGCCATTTTGGTTTTCTCTTGTTTAACTGCTCGCGCGTTGCTCGCTCCATTGTTGTGCTGTCTTTAAGTACACTCCTCGACCTTGCTACCCCAACCTGTCGACAGATAAGCTGTACAATATTTTCACTTGTTAAATAATTATATAATTCATATCAGGGCACACAACAGTGCATAAGCCTTCCACCTGGACTTAATTCATCAGCAGTACATACACGGTAGTTAGTGTACTAATCAAGGTTGACTGAGGAAAACAGGTTTCATACATTTATTCCCTTTTGTGAATTTGAGCAAAGCAAGAAATACAGTTGTAGCAGAATAAATTGGTACCATCTTTTATTTCGTTGCCTTCTCGTCAGACGCTCACAGGCCAAAGACATTGGTAAATATATCTACAAAAACAATTTGACATACTTGCACAGAGTTCATTTTAAACAAAAATCAATCGATCATTATATGCATACAGTAATTATATATACATATAAATATGCAATATTAAACAATTCCGAACAATAATAATCATACACAATGGAAACTTTTCAGTATTACGCATTCAGATGAAAGAGAGATGGAAATATCCAGTTACCAGGATGGGCAAAGAAAGACTGATAATCACTTCTTTCTGGACGCATAAATCAGCTTCAGCAAACTTGAGGAGAATTGATCTCTTTTGCCTATTGATAATTTTCAACGACTTTTAGACGTCCACCTCATGACCCATGTCAAGGCACTGTTTGAAGCATTTGTTCGCTTTAGACATAAGCTTTTTGGTACATGTTCAGAAAATCGTAGATATGCCCTTCTTTCTGTTCTCCCAATGTAACTGCTCCCACAGATACATGTAAATTTGTACATACGGTTGGAGTTAATATGAGAAGGATATCTATCGATTTTTGATTGCATCAAAGAGCAAGTTGTTCAATAGACGGGAACCAGCCTAACTGCAGGATAGGCTATAGCTAGTGGTGTACTCAGCCTTCTGTTGATCATTGCTGCAATGTTTTCACCTTTATAATCAAGTTGAATGCAGATTGGCTTTTTACCTACTGTGATTTGTTTTACATTTGTGACTTCAGATTTTCCATACTTGTTGATGAACCCTTGAGGGTACCCATTGCTCTTCAATATCTTTTCAAGAAATTCAAATTCTTCTTCTAATTTCTATATAGAGCATATTCTCCTCGCTCTATATTACAGAGTCTTTACTAGTCCACGTTTAAAGCAAGTTTAGTAGATGCTGACGTTAAGGTCTATGCAGAAGTCGGCTTGGACACTTACAATTCCTTCATAATACTGTCAGGCATATATTTGTATACTAATCAATAATAAATACTTACAATATAAAAGTGAGTGTTCAATCTTTTAATTATGCTAATGGGATTCACAAAGGTCAAATAATTTGAAATGCCTGCCAGCAGATAAACTCTGCTTGTGTGTAAGTCAAGCGTATTTAAACAAGGAAAAAGAAACAAGATCATTATAAGGACACAGAATGATGTTTTATAGTTTTGTTAGAAAAACGTTCAGAATTCGAAAAGGGAATGAGGTTAATCACGCATTCATCTTACTGAATATTTGAAAGCAAAATAATTCTACAGTTTTTTTTGGTAGTAAATTCGTTAATACTATGTAACTCTTAACTTTCTGATAGCGAAGTTAAGCTATCACTGCCAAAGTGAAGGCCTGTAAAACGTCAGCCTTGAAGAGCCAAACAGATTTAGAGAGTGCTACGATAAGCCATTCCAAATCAAGTCCTGCCTGCATTTATGGATTCGGTGAGGGGATAGGTACAGTATTCCAATTGTTTCCGAGGTACTTATGGCTGTAAACCTACACTGTTAGCTAGGTCTAGTGTTCCTATCATCACTATTCACGAATGTACCATTTACCGAGATGGTAGATGACATTTGTCAAGAAATCACCGAAAGGCAATTGGACTTGGGGATTTCCTTGTGTAGCCTCAAAGAATTACTTCTTAGATGAACAGTGAATGTTCACTTTGTCTTCAGTAATTCATACTACCGACAAGTAGATGGAATACCTATGGGTTCGCCGTTAGGCCCAATCTTTTTGCGGACTTCTTCCTTACAAAACTTGAAAATGGGAGATTGAAAGACATCATCAAGAAGTTGGATATGTATTACTGTTAGATGTCGATGATACACTTATCTTAGTTGAGGTGAATGCAAACATACACGAATTGTGATAAAATTCAACAACGTTCAGCCTTCGCTTATTTTTACTTGTGAAGATGAGCTGGATAATAAACTAAATTTTCTGGACGTCTTGCTAAGTAGACGTGAAGATGGATCACTTAGGAGAAGCGTGTATAGTAAAAGCACATTCACAGGGAAATAGACACACTTCTTTAGTTATGTGTCCATTAAATATAAAAGAAATGTTGTTAAGTGTCTTATGAACAGAGCAAGAAAGATGCGTACGGAGGATCATTTACAAAAGAAATTGGAATATATTCATGATTCCCTGACGGAGAAGTGCTATCCAAGTAATTTCCTAAAGACACATATAAAAACATTGGAGAGAAAGCCTGAGATTATGATTGCACGTAAAAAACCTCTATTTATTAAGTTACAATTTAATGGTGACTTGTCAAGTGAGATTTTAAGCCAGGAGTTAACGTAGTAAACGCATGTTTGTCATTGTCTAGCCGACGAATGATTGCTACGCAAACCAAGGATAAACAGCTAAATAGTTTTGCTATGTCTATGTGTATTTATCAATTCAACTGCATCCGTGGGGATGGTAATTTTGAGCTTACTACTAGACAGCTTAGCCAGCGTGTTAGTGAACATCTCCTATCGTGGTTTGGCAAAGGACAGACAAAAACAATCCGTAGCTCAATTATGTCACATTTAGTTGATGGTGGTCATGTAGTGGAGAAAACAAGAACTTTCAAAGTAATTCATCGTATTCCACCGAGTCTTTCCAACAGACTTCGTATTCGTTTACTGCACACAGCTGAGGCGATAGGCATTTGAACTATTAAACCTAAACTATGCATTCAAAAGCAGTTCGTACAGCCATTATCCCTCCTTTGGCCTATTAAGACCTGACCAGCTAATGACGTCTCCTCCACTCCGTACTTATATTTTCAATCCCTCTCTCCCTTAATCTTACCACATCTTCATTAAGAACGTGTTTCATTTACTTCCCTTACAATCTAGCATTACTTAATCGGTTCATTTGTTTTTCTTAGCCTTTATCAACTACTGCGTCTCCCTGATCATTTGTTTGTTTAATCATGCTGTTTTTCGTTATTCGTGTTATCACAGATTGCCTCACTTTTTCATCCTTATTATTGATAAAACCATTATTATTATTGTTATTGTTATTATCATTATTAATACTTCTATTATGACTAATTGCACAATTTATATTCACCATCTTATTATCCAATAGACAAAACGCCATGATTGGTTTATATATGAATATTTATTTGTAAAGTTATGTATGTTAGAGTTAAGCCTGATGAGGTCTAATTGAAAACACAATATTGTTCGCTTAAATGTGTTGTTCTAAATTTCCTGGGGATAATCTAATTTTAAGGTTAGGATTGGGGTGTATAGGGTTAAGGGTAGGACTAGATTTCTGGTTAGATTAAAGACCAGTGTCAGGAATATCAATGGATCCCAAAGTACGGCGATCCACAGTCACCTTCATGAATATATCCATCTCAAGTGTTATGATTTCTGCGTGGATTATCCTTGGAGTAACTGGGAGACATTCTACAGCCCATAAGAGACAGTTATCCAGCGTAATATCATGTTTCTAATGTTGTATAGCACATTTTTCTGATGATTATGCGACCTTTTTGCATCTGACTCTCTGATTGGTTGTTCAAAGTCAGAGTGCCTCTGGTTGTGATAGTTCAACTTTGCCTTTCTAATTCTTTTTTTTTAACATCACAACAAGATTTCCCCATTTTTTTTGTTATGTGTGATTGTTATTATTCTTTGGAAATATTTCAGGTGAATGGTGTCGACGTGACTAGATTTGGACATGAGAAAGCGGCTGCAGCTCTACGTGATGCCCGTGATCGTGTTGATCTTCTTTTAGTTTACCGACCTGAAGGTTAGTTGCATGTGTTAATGTACGCCTAATTATTAAATTTATTTTTACAGTACAGCGATGTTTGTATTCCCACTCCCACCGCCTCCACTTATGACCTCTGAATTCTATTGGTCGTTAATTGTTTTAGCTTATCAAATGAAGGCTAACTAAATCAAGGTCATATAGGCCTATATTTATAGACCTGCTGTCAATTTTTTCTCACCGTTGATTCGAGGCAGTAAAAGCTGTCTACTCAGAACGGTCTGTCTCCTTCTTCTCTTTTTAGCGTCGCGTGCCAGTGTGGTACGATGTCGTGCTACGCTCTTTCATGAAAAACAATTTTACATAAATGGGATTGTACAGCTAAAGAGGAGGATGAAATCGTGGAAAACAGCCTCCTTCCTGACCTTCTTTTTATCTATCAACCCCCAGTGGCTAGGTCACGTGCTGCGCATGCCTAACCATCGCCTCCCCCGACGGACATTACTAGCTGATATAGGTGCAGGTTGGAAAAGAGTAAGTGGTAGTCAAACAAAAACATGGCCTCATCAATCCATGAAATCCTTGACAGTTAAACTGAGTCAGGTAGGGAGATGCAGACTTCCGGGTTTGGGCCCTCGGGACTCTAAGAATCAATGGCTGGAGACAATAGGTGACATGGCTCAAAATCGTTGTCAATGGCTTACGCAGATGTATTAATAATAATAATAATAATTTGCTTTATTCCAAAACAGTACATGTGATACAGCATTTTTACTACAGTATTGCATCCAGTTAGTACATTATCAATAAACAGAATTCTACAAAGATTAAGGAAATCACAGTTCATTATTACAACAACACATTGGCGTGTCGGTAGCAAAGGAAAAGCTGAAACAGTGTTTGAAGATGTTAGAAAAGTGGGAGCTGTCATATTTACTGGTGTTAGCGAGAGAAAGAAACAAAGCAGCACATAACGGAAAAAAAAGAAAAAGAAGAGAGACAGTAGAGGAAAAGAAAGAAAGAAAATGTTGTACCTTTAAATGATATGAGTTGGAAAGACGAGATCCAGTTGTACTACTGACTATTTGATGAATTATAGGTGTCACGCCTAATACTTTCTTATTCAGTCTCTGTAATCTTTCATATTCCTTTCTACCATTACTCATTCTGTTTCACTCTTATGCTTGCCAAAACTCTATTGATTCTCTTCACTCATCTTCTTGTCTACATTTTTGTGCTCTTTGGAACGTGGCAACTGGAACTGCTGCACTTTGGTGCCAAGTTCTATGTTGAATCCAGCAGCAGCAGTGTTTTTATGCGTGTATTTGCCTAGAATGTGTAAAAAATGGAAGTCACTCTTGGAACAAATCAAATCTCTACAAATTAACCCACTTGAAAATTAATCTGATGCTCGCCAGTGCATTAAACTTGTAATGTACTATTTCTTATTGAGTAACAGCACATTTTCCTATTCGAAAGGACGTCGTACATCTAATTCAGTATAATTTGAAGGTCATTCTACTGAACTATAACTTTATTTATATATTTAAACAAATTAAGTACACCATTACCTATTGATAAATGAATACACAGACAAAAATAAGAAACAGAACAAGATCATTCCTCGATAATGGCGGGATTACTTGATATAAGGAAAGACAATTTGCATAAAGGTCGGATTAGTTTTGTCGGTAGATTTAAAATTTAAATAAACTTGATTAGATGAATGAGTGAATGTCTATTTTTGCCATCAATGCTTAAAAATAGGACAAATTACAATCTTGTGTGTGTTTATGTGTATGTTTCCTTCAAACAGCATTTTCTCATATCTTTTTTTGTTAACATTTGCTTTTTTCCCTCCTCAAATCTTTGTGTTATTGCATTTATGACGGGAGTTTTATTTTTCTTACTGTGATTTTAACGTATAATGAAATTGGTCACAAAGCTACTTACTATACACCCACGCTAGGATCACTAATATTGTTATTATTAGTATTTTTTAATGCAAAGTAGTGTATTATGCTTGATAAAGATTAAGAGATAAGAATTTAAAACTTAATTTTAGTTGTTGTTGTCTGTCTTTGCTAAAATACAGACTGATTTCATTCAGCTGATGAAACAAAATTCCCTACAAAACCACTACTCGAAAATTGATCCAACGCTCCCTAGCAACTGGCCATATTCACCCCAGGCAGTTACATGGGGTTCCAGTGGGATGCCATGACCAGTAGGGTACAGCAGATCGAAGATGAAGACAGTTACTCGTCGAAGAAGACATTGGCTAGTGATCGTGCTATGCCCTGAATTAGCAGAAGTTAGAATTCATGGACTGGCCATTGAATGGGGTCCCAATGGCCTTATGGTCTATGAGCTTGCTGGCCTTGTAACCAGAGGGCCCTGCATTTGAACCTCTGTGATAGGTGCGTACTTATGAAGAGCCCCGAACTAGACTGACAAAATAACTGTCCAGTACTCCCTGTTGGTTTTCCAATGGTTCTCTAACTAATGTCATCTCATGATGAAATCCTCCAACCAATCAAACAAAATCCCTACAAAACCAATCCTTAAAATACATATGTCAAGAGTGTGGTTAATACGATATATATTGTCTGCATTTTGTGTCTATTATCAGCCTAAATGTGAATTGGCGCTTATTTAACGCTGACTAGAAACAGATAGGAAAAATAAAGACATTGTGGCTATATTGGAGATGATGTTGATTGGCTTAGGCATACGACTTTGCAATCAAAGCGTCTCGGGTTCGAATCCAGCGCCGTGCACACTTTAGCCTGGATAGTTGTAAAGTAGCAACAGTTTGCACAAGTTAAGTGGGGCTCTTAGTATTATTTGTCATGAAAAAAGCAACCGCTACAATTTTGAGATCTGTGCTTAGCTAATTAGTGATTAGTATACCGAATGCCGAGGAAATCTGTTATTATATTTCTCTGAGCTGGATGGTTCAATTGTGACAATATCTTTACTACAATCTCATATAATTGAGTTTCTAGAATTCGGCATGAATCAAGTAAGCGCCTTTCCTGTTGACTTTTTGATCCTATGGTTTATTCCCTTTTGGTTGATAAATGTGATCTATATCTGATTGCCTGTTAATTGGAAACTGAAACCTGCTAAGTAGGTTTTCGGAATTTTTCAAAAATTCCTTTGTGTTTACTTTGCTTAAGATTTCTAATTTGTTTCACTGGAATCGAAGTCATTGGTAGTTTACCCGTAATAAAATAAATGAATGAATCTTATATCTTTTGACTTCTGGACACGAAAATGTAGAAGACATCGGTTTTGACGAATGTAGTGTGTCTCTCACTTGACCGAAATCTATCTGGTACATGAATTATTACAACTGAGTTCATTGGAACAGATTTTTGATGCACTAAGCTGTAACGTCGGTGGCACAGCGGTAGAATGCTCGCCAACCACGCTTCATGCGGCCCGAGGTTCCATCCCGGCCGCCGTACCACTACTTTACCTCGCTAAGCCAGTAATAAAACTGGTAAAGAGAAAGGGTTTGGCATGACACTAGTAAACCCATGCCGTAAAAGTAAAAACCACTGCTAACGAAACTTCAAGCCTCTAGCTTTGAGCCCTATTTTCCACTGGGAACGTAAAGGAATAAAAATAAGCTGTTGCTAATGCCTATTCCCCAAGACTAAAGTAGGCAGAGTGAGACTCATGGGTTGAAAAACGAGTACTTAAACCAACGAATTGTAGCATATGAATGATGCCTTCTTTTGCTGTTGAGTCATTTCATTCACATTATGTCAAGATATTGAATAATTATGCCCAGAAATGCTAAATTAGCAGAATATCTTTAAAGATGTCTCCTCCGCCTTGGGCAACACAAAAACACCTGAGCTATAAATCTTCTCCACTGTGAAATAATGGAGAAAATTTCTAACTCAGGTGGGTTATTTTTATGTGGCTGTGTTTTCTGGGCAGTCGACCTCGTGGGTTAACTGAAATCAGTGATAATGCAAAGTACCACACGATCACAATAAAGATCGTTAAAAGATATAATTATAGCACTCATGGAATGAAGGCTTTACGCTTTGCACTTAAACCTCTCAGCTCTGAGAACACAAACACATCAAAATCATCCACGAGGAGCTACAAAAATAATAAAGGTCAAGCACCCTATGTATAATGCCAATGATGATATAGGCAAGCGATATCGTGAATTTATTTAGCGGTATAAAATAGTTTACTTATAAGCGATTCATTTATGAATAGTGTTAGTCGACTGCACAACAAGGAAAAATTAAATGACACCACATTATATGCTTCAGTTTGAAGTCTGAATTTTGTTCCCTGTGTTGAGTGAAACCGATTTTCAAACTGACTTCAGAGTGATGAAGGTCTCGCTTGCGTTACCGATTCTGGTTTGGACATTGTCATCCCTGCTGTCGCCTGCAATTGAAAAGATACTACCTAGATGAGTGAGAGAAGTGACCTATTTCAAATTACTTCCCTTGATGGTGATTAGTACAGGTTGTTAGTTGGCAGGTAATCTTCATTAATTCCGTCTTCTCTTTATTCACTTGAGGTCCTGTGCTAATTGTCTGCTTCTTCCCACAACTTATTGGTTTTCACCTTTAATTTTTCGAGTTTTCGTGAAATTAGCTATAAATCATCCGTGAAATTCCTTATCGGTCCAACGTATTCGTGTCTTCTCGCACCCACACACACACAGTCTTCTGCATACTCCAGTTCACGAGAACTAGGAATACCATCGTTGATAATAGCCAGTTTTATCTAACTCCTGTATTCATTTGAAAAACGTCTCTGAGTTTTCCACTGTGGATCACTTGACACACGAAATTGACATATAACTATTAAATGAGGTTGATAAAGATTTGAGGAGCCCCATAGTGTTGAAGCAGTCTCCAAATTACTTTTCAGTCAGAGCTGTCAAAGACCTTCCAAAGCCTATGAAACTGCAACTGTGTTAACTGTTCGATGAAGGTGCTCATAGTTGCTATTCGATCTATTCATAATTTTCTTTTTTTGAATCCACCTTGTTCTGG